AAACAAAACCTACTGGAAATAATCACGTACACAAAAACAAAAAGTTAAATATTAACTTTTATGAGATTATAAAAAATACAGAAATTGATAGAGTTTCCACCGTATTTATTGTATTTATTAAGATATATATGATGGAGCTCTCTCTTTGGATGGGGGTTGCTGTATATTTTAAGAACCACCTTTTCTATCTTGGGCAAAATATACATTATTAGCCTGGGGTGTTTTACATGGTTATTTCTGATCAAACCTTAAAGAAATTAAAATTGATCTGAATCACATAGCATAAAGTTTAAAGAAATCAAAGATTGATAAAGTAAATTCAGAATGATATTAAATCCGAATGCCCCCAGTGCAGATAATATGAACAGAAGTCTTAGTTCTAAAAAAGTAATCAATAGAATAGGACTCTTTCCTTTTTTGCTTTTCAGTTTAAGTGAGCTAAATGCTTCATATAAATGATTTGTATGTTCTTGCAAATCACTTTCAGTATTCCATCGATGGGTGTTAAGAGTTCATTCTGTGTTTTCAAGTTGTTATGCAAAAGTTGATTTTTTTCCCGTGCTACACTCAGTACTACTCACATAACCTTTACCTGGTAGGATTCCTTCATTGTCCTCCTGTAGGCTGTATGGATTTAAATGTTGAGGGGAAGGAAATGGTGAGCAAGGTAATAAATAGCTCAGGAAATCCAGCCAATACCACTGTCTCCTATTTATTTCTCTTACGAGATGTGAAAGATGGGTTTCTTGTCTAGCAAATATCTGGGGAGACCCTGAAAGGTTCTTGAAAACATAGGAAACAGGGACTTCAATGAAAGAGCCAGAATAAAAGCCAGTCCTAATGGAAATATTGCCTTGCTTTGGACCCTTTTCTTGCGTTTCCCTTTCTGATACTATTTTGCTTGTTTTGTTTGCAGTGTTCGCACGCCAATATCTATGAAGTTCTTTCCCCGCTTCTTTCTTCTCTACTTTCTGGTGTTTCACATATATTTCTTTTCGTATACTCATGGTAATGATGTGCCAAATTACCTTTTAGTTCAAAAGATTACATCCTATAGTTTTTCTCTTCCTTTGATAAGCTCAATTTACTCTTTTGTAGGTTTTTCTTATTTAGCTCTCTCTGCTGCTGCAGCATTTATGCAGCACCTTATCCTCTATTTTTGGAACCGTTTTGAGGTACTATATCTGTAGTACACACTTTCATGTAAATATTATTTTTCATGTGTAAGCTATCATCTCTCTGCGTTTAGAAATTAGAATGCATGTCATATCAACTAACATCTATGCTTTAGCTGAAACCAACTAGTTTAAAGGTTTGGTTGGGTGGTATATGCTCTACACACTTGGCACGATGACTGTTAACCTTTAGGAGTATATTCTGTTATAACCTAAGAAACATGGACATAGATCACAGTTTCGACTTTCATGGGTATATGACAAAGGATACGCCTTTGGTGAATTGTTGATAGTCAAATGAGTGTCATGGTGTTAATATCTGGTGTGCAACTTCATGGGTATGATCTTAATTAGTTACACTGGTCTGGGTCACATTAAACAACAATTCTTGAATAAATTATTGAATTGGTACAAGTTATTTAATAAAAAAATGATAGATTTATTATAATGTAAGAACTTTTTTTTTTTTTTTAATTTTTATCTCCCATGCTTGATTGTATAGTAGAGCCTCGTTAAAATCTAATATTATTGAAGTTTCTGAGAATTTTATGAACAATTTATTGCAGTTGTTATGAGACGTATGAAAAAGTCTGATGATCTCTGTCTACAATCTAATATTATTGAAGTTTCTGAGAATTTTATGAACAATTTATTGCAGTTGTTATGAGACGTATGAAAAAGTCTGATGATCTCTGTCTACAATCTAATATTATTGAAGTTTCTGAGAATTTTATGAACAATTTATTGCAGTTGTTATGAGACGTATGAAAAAGTCTGATGATCTCTGTCTACAATCTAATATTATTGAAGTTTCTGAGAATTTTATGAACAATTTATTGCAGTTGTTATGAGACATGTATGAAAAAGTCTGATGATCTTTATTGTAGACATGTGGCCTTCTTGAGGGAGTCCGTGATGCTTAGAAATGCATATCAGATTTCAATACAAACGTTGTGAAACTAACTATTGTACTTCTGTTACTTTTGTTTCTAACAATGTCCTCTACATGCACTTAATAAGTTTTCTAGGGCTGCTAGGAGATTAAAATGTAGCAATTTCGCTCCCTTTTGTAATTTTCGTAGCTTTATCCTTAGGAGGAATCTATTTAAATAGGAATTAAACCCCTATATCGTATGATATGAGATAAATTCCTTCTTGTGGGCAACCCTAGTAATATTCGAGTTATGGATTCATTAGTTATCCATTTAAACTATTCAAAGTATCCAAACATCCACAGAGTATAATGTTATAATCTAAAAATGCTTTCACTTGACACTAGATTTGTGATTTGCCTGTTCCGTAAAGTGGAGCAAACTTGATACACATCACTGATTTCTATATGGAAAGGGGAAAAAAGAATAATGTGGAATAGCTGAGGATGCCGTTACTTGTTAGTTTACGTACTAATATAGATTGAATGAGACATTCCATGCACATATACATAGATAGATTGTACATCACTTGTATGCCTGCTGTCATCTCAGGTCCCGGCTCTGCAGAGGTTTATGCAAAATCGAAGGTCACATTTTCAGCAACATCCTGACTTTCACATTACCTCCTCAACTATTCTCGCCTCAACATTACACATTACAAGATTAAATACGAGAAACCCTGGGCTTCTTAACACAGATTTGGCTTCAGGACCTGCAATTCGAACTGGAACCAATACAGGAATGCCAAGAAATGGTGCAACTGCATTCCCTGGTCCTCAAGAACAACCTAGTAACGACAATCCAGAGAGGTTAGGGAATCCTCTTGAAATTGGGGGACAGCCTGCCCTCCGTCAGCCAGAGAATGGGAGCAACCCAGGGGCTATGAACTCGTTTAGTTCCCTGTTACTATGGATCCTGGGGGGAGCTTCTTCAGAAAGTCTCAACTCATTTCTGTCAATGTTTAGAGATCTTAGAGAGCACGGACAAGTTTACACAGAACCTCCGAGGCAAGAAAATCGTACAGAACCTCATGATGAATGATGCAGCATGAAGTTTGGATAAATTATGTATTCTGTTTTTTGTAAATACAACACAGAGCTTAGAAGCTGTAGCTTTTGAAGGCAGAAGGTTTTAATCTTTACAGGTAATTGTACTCATTTTAAACCTTTATACTGCAGCAAGCGACTCGGATGAGAAGAAGGAACATGGGTTCACCTATTGAGCAGAGAGAAATCTACCCATTCCAAGAGTTGTTCACTATCGTAATGCCAATGTACGCTAGAAGTGGATGGGTAATTTTGAGTAAAAAACGGTGAACCTTATATGGCGTGTAAATCAGGTGAATTGAAATAGAGAATGCTTCCTGTAAGTCAATATATTGTCAAGTGCACATCAATCTTGATAGTTCATTGAAATCCTTATTTTCTGTAGCTGTTGATTTGATTTATCACTTTGAATTTGTGCTTGTTTATCAGTTTTCTTCTATATTATCAGGGAGAAATGACTGCTAGCACAGCACATACAGCTGATGGTTGGGATTTATTTTATTATTATTATTTTTTTTAACAGAAGAACTACGTAAATGTAGGGATGGCAATGGGCCAAGCCGAGCCGGCTCGACCCTTTAATCCACGAGCTTGGATCGGCTTGTTGCTCGGGGGTGCTCGTGGGCCGAGCCGAGCCGAGCCTACTAGCCGCTCGCAAGCTCGTGAGTTTTTTAATTATTATTTTTTCTTTTTTGGGTAAATTTGCACATTTTTTGACTTTCTTTTGTAAATTTACATATTTTTTGACAAGCCCACAAGCTCTAGTAAAAAATGGCTCGTGGCTCGAGGAGCCGCTCGACTCGTTTGACATCCCTATGTAAATGCATATTTGAAATTTAAGTCAGCTATGTAGGCATCAAGTATCCTGTTGTCAGGGGGGAAGAAGTTGACATTCAAATTATGTAGCTTAAATCTGTTGAGACAAGTGTTGTAACCTGTGTGTTAATTGAAGTGTTTGTACGGTTTTTCAACTCGAAGGAAAAAGCCTTTGTTTGAGCTATGCACACAACAGGGCTTTGTTTGGTTTGGTCGAAGTAGACCTTTAAAGCCCTCTTACCAATAGGGTGGTGGTAGAAGGAATAACTTTGAATCTTGAATATGAGAATTTTCCTGCGTCTACTTGTAAGATATAAAGGGAATACTGTAGCTTTGACTTGCTCCAAGTGGTTGATTATAAGGATGAACCATTGGCTGTATACAAACTAGGGATAAAAAAAAGCAAAGACTAGGCTCAGTATGTCGTCATCTCTAGATCGAATGGTACTCAATGAGGCTATATTACTGTTTCCGTATAATTCTCGAATCTTTAATAGAGAAAATTACATAAGAGGTGTTTTAAGTTTTTCAATTTAAAAATCAGGTGTGAGGTTTATTTAATAAAAAATTAGGGATTAATCGAATTAGTAATGACATCTTATATCATCTTTCTATAATTTAGTCTTGACTTAAGATATCTCTCTATCCCTTTCTTTTCTCTCTCACGCCACTCTAACGACTCATCATGGTGGAGTCGCTTTCTTTCGTGCGCGACAGTTCATCATCGTTGCGCACGATGCAGATATATTCTTCTTCTTTTGGAGTGGTGTGGTGATAGACAGTTCGGTGATGATTTTGTTGTGTGGTGGTTGTGATGGTGTTACTTTTAGTGGTGGTGGAGGTATGCGATACGGTCTGGTGTTGTGTGCGGTGGTATTATGCTAGATTGTTGACTGCGATTGTAGGTTGGGTGCCATGTGGTAGTGGTGTGTGACGGTTGGGTGAGGTGGTGATGTGCGGTGCTTTGTTTGGTGGTTGGTTGGGTGCGATGGTAGTGTATTGTGATCTGTGATGGTGGATCGAGATCGGAGGGGGGAGAAGGGAGTTGTGTGTAATTGACCAATCATTTAATTGTGATCTAAAAGTTGTATAATTTGTGATTAAGAAATAATTTATAACCAACTAATTTAAAAATATGTGATCGACGAACAAATTGTAACCTATAATCTTTTTGATTTGATACAATAATATAATTCGTGATCAATTAATTTGATAATATGTGATCAATAAATAAGTTCTGACTTATAAGTGTGCATTATTGATTGTATAATTGTGACTTTGATATATTTAATTAATAAGATATTTTTAATTATTTATCGACCTTATGAGTTTTGAAATTTGAAACTTTAAATCTGAAAAATGAATTTACCCATAGTTAATTATTAAGTTGTGAATTTTTCCCTCTTTAATATACGATGTTTAAAGACCGTGTGCCGATCGGGCCACCCTGATTCATGACCCTGACCCGTGCAGGCTGACATGCAAGACTGTTTGCAAGGATCTGCAGGCAAAATTGCGGCCTGGAATGGCCAACCTTCAAAGGATGGTTGGGTCACCCCGTCCCAATGGTCCTGAGGTTAGACCTGCTGCGAGCTCGACTTTCGTGTGCTGATACCAACGTATAGTCAAGTTCAAATATTACATGTAGCCAAAATGATAAATTTACAGATTGGATTTTATTTTTATAAATTAAGCTCTAATAATAAAAATTACTTGCACTCTTTGAGGAGTCAATAAATAAAAATTAAGTAGTTATAAGTTGAGTCATGTTCGGATAAACCCCACAAGTTTACGAGGTCGTTGGCAAATAATGGATTAAATGAGTTGAGTTATCATCACACGGGGAATAACTATTAATTCTAGAGTACAATTTCTACCAAATTCGATCTACATGGCACAAAATAGTTAATTTTTTTGTAAATATTCTAAATTAAACTAAGAATACTGTAAAAAATTGTTCTTATCAAATAATGAAGTGAATGTATTGTATTTCAGAATCCACCTATTGGTTTCTGTTTCCAATTCTCAACTTATGTAAGTGTTATTCAAATATTTGTGACAATATATATATATATATGGTTTAAAAATGAATTTTAAACAAATAGAAAAGAGTAAGTTTCCTTAAAACTTAAATTTAAAATTTTAATTTCAAAAATCAAGTATGAATTACTTTTATTCAATTATCAGGTTATAATTATATTTTTTTAATATAAAAATGTCTATACTGCACAATACCTACCTCACTCTAGCGCATAATTTCTCACTCTCATAGAGGTTAGGCTATTCACTTCATTCATTTGACTTTAATTAAGATTAAAGATAGAAAGTGAGCATACTGTGAACGCTCATTTAGTAGATAGCAAGCAAGCAGTAAGCACCTACTCTTATCAAAATGAAATTAAAGTAAGAAAAAAAATTATAGCTCGAAGTGCTTTCTTCACATACTTGAATACATCTCCCATACCACGACACCCTACCCCAACCCAGATTCTTGGAGGAGAGATACCGATACGTGAATCTGCTCCTGGGACTCCTCCAATCCAAGATTAGTAGGCTTCATCATTGCTTACGTCATCCTTTTCCATCGATTTCTATTTCAAACATACATAATATAATATAATTTTAAGTTTGTGAAAAAAAGCCGGCAACTATGCAAATTCATAATTTATCTTAAGAAGTAATCTTGACAATCTTGATGTGCTTTGAAATTGTTGATTTGTTCAAAATGGTGGTAGTTGTAAAGGTGGTGATGATTGTGAATATGAGATGCTAACAACGATTTGGATTGTGTCGATGTTAGGATGCAGTGAAGTGAAATTAAATCAATTAATTTATGACTAATAAATTAATATGTGACATCCTTTTATGCATAGGTCAGGAGTGGTTTTTTTTTTTTTTCCCGATACATCTTTTGTCGAGTCCACTGTTGGGGCCATGATCAACTATACGATACCACCAGATGCGAAAGAGGACTTTTCCAGGTTATTAGATGAGAAGCAAGGAAGAAGGAAGACTCTACCTCTACCTGTTAATCATGCTATATGTGACTTCATATGGGATTTGCAATAATATAATGTGATATGTGATTGTGGTCAAGTGATTTTGGCTTAGTAAATGATTGTGACCATAAAGGATGATGCTACATGTATACATTTGATGTACATAATACATTTCAATGCACTCTCACATGGGGGGTGCATATACTAGTAAATGATCGTGATCATAAAGGGTGATGTTACATGTACATCTTTAGTGTACGGTATACATTAAACCCCCTACCATTTGAAGGGGTATAATGCATCATGCGGGCCTCTTCCATATAAGAGTGTAATGCATTATGTACACCAAAAGTGTACAAGTAGAATTACACGACCACAAATTGTAATTATTGTGATTATGAACATAAATTGCGATTATCGTGCTAATGACCAATTTGATTAAATATAGGTCACTAAATTTTATCAAAAGTCACGAAATGTGACAATCTGATTTTTGAAAGGTCTCATCAAAATTTTTAAATTTGAAAGTGTTTTTAAAGGCATAATAGTTATGTAATATTTCATAATAGAAATGAGCTCAAACATGGACTTTATACTTGGGAAAATTGCAGTAGTGGTCCCTAATTTTTTTCATTTTTTACAGACTTTACCCTAACCTCCATTTTATGCCAACAGAGGTTTCAAACCTTTTATAAATATGCATCTGAGATCCATCTGGATGGAAACTATCCAAAACACCGTCAGTTGATTGGGAAAATTAAGGAATCAACATCCAATAAAACAGTCCAAAACACCCTCCAAAAAAACCATCCAAAAAGATATCAATATCCAATAAAATCGTCGTAGTAGCAGATAGTTTAAGGAATTTTCCCTATCATCTAACGGTATTTTGGACAGTTTTCCGTCCAGATGGACCTCAAGTGCATATTTATGAAAGGTTAGGGGACTTTCGTTGATACAAATGAAAGTTAGGATAAAGTCTATAAAAACCTAAAGGTTAGAAACCGTTGCTGCAATTTTCCCCCTTATTCTTTTAACAAACAAACAGAAAAAAATAATAATAATAATAAAATGTATTGACTTTAAGTATACTAGTTACGCATTTTCCTCATACTGAAACTTTTAAGGAAATAAAGAAAATGAACCATGCTAAAAATACAATTATAGTTGACAACTTTTGTTTACATTCATAGGTTGGCAAAATCTATACCATCCATTTTAAAATTTGTTTTTTTAAATCAACAAACAAGATCTTGACAACACATAGATTGTAAATAAAAATTGTCAATAATCATCATACTAGCATGGTATCAACCAATGTTTTAAAAGTCAACCCTAACATCGATTCAAAAAAGAAAAAGAGTGAAGAGTCAAACGGTCGAACCGGGGTCCACCCGGGGTCAAACCGGGTATCAAAATTAAATAAATAAATGCTCCTACAAACTCTAAAATATTATAACAATAACAGATTTTTAAATTGTAGTATTACTAATTCAAAGTAAATATAAATCAATATTTGTCAATTAAATTTAATGATTTATTATCCTATAATTTATTTTAAAACATTAAAAACTAATAGTTGTTGTGTCTAAAATAATTTGCTTTGTTAAAATTGAAATTATTTGTGCTTTTGGGGCCAAAATTTGTTTAATAATAAGAAAAAAGTAAATAATTATTAAATATATAAATTACAAAGGATTTTACAACTTCTCCCACATTGAAAGTTGAGAAAAAAACATTGCATGCCTCTCTTTTAAAAACAACACTTGTACGTATTTCACATTGAAAGTTGAGGAAAACATTGCACGTCTCTTTCTTTCAAAAACAAAACTTGTATTGGAAGGAATGTAAAATTATGCTTGACAATGCTTTAGCCCATTAATCAAAGTAATAAATTATAATTTTATTAATTTTTTTTTTTAAAAACCGATAAAAACCATGACCAATTTTCCGGTTTCCGACTAAAATGGCCGGTTCGACCAGTTATATACCGATTTTTTAATTTCCGGTTAATTAATTAGCATCGGACCGGATTTGAGGTTGGTTTTTGATTTTTACGGTTGAACCGGCCGGTTCGGTTTTCAAAACATTTGTATCAACTCTCAACCTTCTATGGGTTAGCATCACAATTTGTGTAGGACGAAAGAAAGAAGAAACGAGAGTAATAATCAATAAAATCGACGAAGAATAAAGACTCTGGCATCACTCCAATCATACAATCTAGTCTCACCAAAATTATTGTATACTCATCTTTCCAAGTCTCAGTCACAATACAATTTCAGTTATAGAATTATCAACTCTACAATAGTTTGCAAACCTTGTCCCAGAATATCTCTCTCTAAAACTCGGTGTCAAAGCACGATACCATGATCTTTGAAACCATAGACCTTGCAAATGGTATATAGCTTAAGCTATACCTGTAAAGACAAGATGTGAGCAAGAATAAGCAAATCAAATAAGGACAGTTATCATCTGTTCAATTCAACAGCACTAGATTTCACAAGGCGTATTTAAGTCCACACTAGGGACCTTAATGGCTTAATCCGAAAAAGGGGAGTAAAAAGGAAGAAAGTTTCTCAAACTTCGTTAATGATAATCGCCCCGGTAAATACATTTATATGCCTCTCTATGCACTAGGACCCGCCCCCCAAAGAGGATAATTGTAAGCTTTAACTAAAAAGCAAAAACTAAACATCAGTCCTTATGAATTAAAATGATCGGAAGAAATATTAAAAACAAAACTGATATTTAAGGACTGGAAATGTTCATTAACCCATGGAGAAGTTTTGAATGATTTCCAGGCACAATGGCCATAATCACAAGAAAGACATGGGAATCAGCCCCGTGCTTATTCGACAAAAAATAAGGAATATTCAATTGACACACTCCAGAAAAAACAGTGATTTTAGACATACCAAATAAGCGCACCAAACTCCAGTATAATTGCCAAAAGCGTCAATAGCTTGTTGTGGACCTATTCAAATATAAAGAATGCTATGTAAACATGAAAAAATGGGGAGGATATGAAAATATGATAGAATCAGAACAAGATCACTCACATATACAGCACAAAAAAGTGCAACAATAATGCTAGCAATATATAGAGCTGTAGCATAAATACGCGCAGGGTCAAGCATCATCGCCACTTGTCGTTTGGGGCCTATAAGAAATCCTGTGCTGCCACAGAAAATACCAAAATTAGAAAGAAAAATAAATAAATAATAAAGTAGGCCACAAAGATAGAGTAATGAAAAATTATGTTGTTGGCTCTACATGTAATTGAAAACAAATTATGAGAATAAAGAAAAGAAAGACAGATCTGACAAATGAGGTCTGGAAGATTAACTTGGAAGAGACTTTTAATCAGTATATAGCAGTTGTGGAGGGTTTTAAGAAGGATAAAAAAAATAGCTCTTGATGTCTTTAACTGAGGTCCCAATACAGACCATCTAAATAGATCAGATGATAGTCTTGCATTTTGTGTGAAATTGTTAATGGGTAGACCTCGAAGATCTAGAGACGAAGAAAAAATGCCAGAATGTTAGTACTGTACTAGAGCTTCTATTTAATCAAAGGAACTCTCACAATGAGGAATTCAATCCAATTGATAATATGCTCTTCATTGCTACAAGCATAATAATGCACTTACAATTCAGCTTCCTAATTCACTTCGCATGGCCACCAGGCAAAGGATATTTAAGCAATATATACGGACACACTGACATCATAACTAGACCCAAGATAAACATGCTAGCTGAAATGCAGATTTTGACATAAAAAGGAGGACAAACTCACAAACTTTCAATAATTCTAGAGTGGTATTAATTAGGATAAATCTATTTGTACATCTCCATTCGCCACTTGGTTGACAGATAGATGATGTGGTAGCTTTACAATGGTTGGATTAAAAGTGTGAGATGTAAAAAATGGTATGAGATTGTGCCAAGTGTAAATTCGGTAAACCAAAGTGTAAAGAGAGATGTGCATGTAGCAAAATTGGGTATTATTATGTTAAACTAAGCTGAAAGTTAAAAACACTCTATATAAGCAAAGAAGCTATTCCACATGAACTTTTTCTTTACCAATTTTCTCAAGTGTCAAGTAGACCCTATGTCTTGCTTGATGGAGCATGTGCTGCAAACAGAAGGCATTGTACAAGCTTAGCTAAACATTTTCAGCTTGCAGACTCATTCAGTCCTTTCTTCTGCTATTTTTACCACTTAATTAGATTGAGTGAAAAATTTTCCAGATTTGTAGAGAACAACTAGTCGTGGTATCAATGAATACCATAAATTGGTTTTGTAATTGGTCTTGTTGTCCCCAATTCATAATGTTCATGTGAAGCTAGAGATAGGATTTACGAATTCTTTATTTTCAAAGTAGAATTGATTTAGAAAAGGGACCTATTTATTTCAATTGTTATCCAAACTTCTCTGTGGATCTGAATGATGAATATTTTATCTACTTTTAACTTTAAATGCTCACACATAAACTTAGAGATAAATCCATTTCAACCATTATTGAACCTCAACTCAAAGCTTCCCCTAAAGGATAATGTTCTTCTTGTGGCCAATCCTCAACATTATAATGTTTTGTTCCCCAAAAGATTTAGCATGATCTGACTGCCAATTCTTCTCTTTGGAGACTGTACTCCAGAGTATCTTCCCAGAAACAAGATTTCTGTTGGTTATCAATCACTGTAGGACATTCCAATAGATCTGATGGAATTCATTTTTCTTTTTCAAGAACATCCACTTTACAGTCAATCGAGTTTATGGCTAGTAAACCATCAACCTCTTCAATTTAGCAAACTTCAAGATATCCACTATGAATCAACCATTCTACCTCTCTCCTGTGAAGATGCTGGACCAAATGGTGATTCAGCCTCCCACGAGTCACCACCGTGTTCTAAAATGCACAATCATACAGAACAGTTATGTTATATCTGGAGAATTCTCTATTAATATAAATCTCCTCGAGTGAGTTCTTAATAGAGAAAAATAAAGAAAAAGAAAATAGGATTTTCCATCAACAAGAAGTTTCAAAGAGAAGCTATCCAAGCTATATCATGCAAAATCCAAAAATACTTTACAATATGTATTCCTTGATCGGTTTGAAGATGATTATTGTTTTATTAAAAAAAAAAAAAAAGTAATCCCTTTTCTGAAACCTATGTGGCTTCGAGAATGAAGCCGCCAGTACTACTATACTATCTATAACTACTACTTGTCATCAAAACCTAGTGTATCATCAACCTCTTGAAGAAATTTAAATAATTTTCATGATAAAGCAGTCATCTGGTCCCTTTCAAAGTTAGTCTCACTTCTGGAGATAATATGCTACTTACAAGGTTATTTTAAATATTCAATAACAAAAATTATTCTAACCAATTTTCCCATATTTTATCAAGCAGCTGTCGTGTCTCAAACTACAATCATCATTTTCTTTCTCATCCAATGGGAGGAAGGATAGAAGATCCAGTTATACCTCTTTCTCAAATTCTTGATCTATATAAACTCAAAACTATTTGCAATTCAAAAGAGAATATTTCTTTATTCATTACTCTAAAGATATAATCTAGATTGGGTGCAGCAAGAGTTTCCAGCTTTTTTAATAATGGCTCTGGAGCTTCAAACCACCAGTGTAAAACTATAATGAAGCAACTCATCATAGTAATTTTTTGCACAAAATTATGGGCAATCAGAATGTCTTAATATCATAGAATTCACTTCAAGCAAAAGAAAATTAATGATCCCAAATGTAATGCTGGCTGATAGTTGAACATCAAATTCTTAATTATCTTCAAGAAATCGAAACACAGTGCCCTATAGCATAACAACAAATGGTCAAAGAATTGACACAATATTTCTTTGTGGAATTAATGGGCACTCAACAATTGGTAGCATAATTATAACAGTGAATCTGAGAGAGCCCATTGTCTTAACGCTATTAGAGTCGAACAAGCAGAAAACATAATTGTTAAGGCAGAGACTATTACAGCTCTTATATATCAACCACCAAATATTTCATAGGTGAACCTATTCAATTTCAAAGAAAATCCTCGCACATCCTATTCAATTTCAAAGAAAATCCTCGCACGTTCTTTTCAAACTTATATGTCCTGAGCTTTCTTGTTTTGTCAGTATAAAGATATGTTTTTTAGTATCCTCTTTGGAAGGGAAGTTTAATAGCTGCACATCCAAAATTAATTTCCTAAGAGGGTGCAGGGAGTATTAGAGATATTACAATGAAAGTGTTTGTTATGGTTGGAGCTCAACTTCAACCAATAACCAGCAGAGAGACTCAAGATACAGAGTATAAATTGCAATTACTCAAATGCAAGAATATAAACTGAAGTTAATAATAAGAACCAGTTAATCTCCAACCAAAATCAACACATTCATTCCCTTAATTGATCATTCTATTACAATGCAAGGGATTACAATGGATTACAATTAAAAGACAAATATAAAAGAGAAAGATAGAGACCAGCAGAGAGAGAAGAACAGAGAATTGAAGAACGGATTAAGAGTAGAAGAGAGCAAAGGAAGAATCGAAAGAAGATAAGAAAGAGAGGAAACGGGGAAGAAGAGAAGAAGACGAAGCAGGAGAAGGAGCTTATCAGGAGAAACACAAAAAGCAAAGAGGAAGAGAAGAAGAAGAAAGACGACCGGCAGCAAGGCAAGATTCAATTCATCAATTTACAACCCTCGTTCATCGTCCCAACAAAATCATATAGAACAACTCTAACGGTAAAGGGCTTGGGCTACCCACTAATAATACAAGCCCAATTACATAAAATAAAATGAATGGCCCAATCCATGGCATCCCTTCCCCTTAAATTGACCTTGTTCTCAAGGTTCAAAGTAAAGATGTCTTCTTTGTATGAAATTAGCCGCTTCATTCTCTTCACCATCCTTGGATTAAGCAAGTAATGCAAAATGGTATATGTCCCATCGTGCTCTTCTTCAGACTCATATATGGCATCTTCAGCAGGAGTCATATCCTCTGGCCTCAGTTCTTTCTCAAAATTTTTCTATTTATCTACAAGGGATCTATTTTCATCTTCCTCGATCGGACTCTGAATTGTGTATTCATTTGCAGGCATCTTTGAATTGAGAATTACTTCAAATACATCACCAGGCTGAATTAGTGTGGCATTAAATTCCCCTTCTCCAACCATTTTACCACCCTTCTGGAATGACAGAATAGCATCAGCTTTCCCTATAGGTATCACTTTTGCCTTACCATATGTAATGCCAACCTCCTTAGCAATAGCCTAAAAAGTTCTCCAATCATCACCAGTAACAAAAATAGGATTCCCAACATTTTTCACAAGGCTTTCTACTACAACAGCAACTTCTCCTTTCAATGTATCTGCTACCTCAATTCCAGTATTTCCCTCAACAAACACTTCTTCCCTTGTATTCTCAGCAAACCTCTTACACAACTCTTTAGAGAAGATAGCCCAATCTGCCCTAGGATGGTTTGCAATGAATCCATAAAACCATAAGTAAGCCTTCCCTTTCAAGTACTTCTCACCAATTCCCAATCTAAGTTCATCAAGAGTTTGATTAAGTTGGAAATATTTCATGGCTTCTCTTAGCCATTCCCTAAGTCCTTCTCCCCCAAAATGTGGAAAATACACAGCCTCCACTGACTGGGTTGCAACAACTCCCATATCACCATTTAATTCATGAACTTGCCCTTCTGAACTCTTTTTACCGAGTTCTAAATCCCCAATATCAGAAACAGCCATTTCATCTCTGTCAACAACAGAACACTTGTAATGGTTGGATTGATCTTTGAAGATTGATTTGGCCTCAACCATTTTAGTTAACATTGAAATGATCAATTCATTTTTTCTGTTCATTTCCTTCATCAATTGCTCCATCCTGTCTTGCCTAGAACTGAACCCCTTCAACATTTGATCCCATGAATTTCCAATCACGCTCATAACTCCCGATTTTTTTTTCAAACCTTTTAAATTGTTCTTCCTGATTTTTGACCAAGAGCTCCCATTTACCAACTCTCGTATTGCTCTGATACCATTTGTTATGGTTGGAGCTCAACTTCAACTAATAACCAGTAGAGAGACTCGAGATACAGAGTATGAATTGCAATTACTCAAATGCAGGAATATAAACTGAAGTTATTAATAAGAACCAGTTAATCTCCAACCAAAATCAACACATTCATTCCCTTAATCGATCATTCTATTACAATGCCTTACAATGAATTACAATTAAAAGACAAATATAAAAGAGAGAGATAGAGACCAGCAGAGAGAGAAAAACAGAGAATTGGAGAACAGATTAAGAGTAGAAAAGAGCAGAGGAAGAACTGAAAGAAGAGAAAAAAGAGAGAAAACAGGGAAAAAGAGGAGAAGACGAAGCAGGAGAAGAAGGAGCTTACCAGAAAGGGAGAAACACAGAAAGCAGAGAGGAAGAGAAGAAGAAGAAGAAGAAGAAGAAGAAGAAGAAGAAGAAGAAGAAGGAAGACGACCGGCAGCAAGGCGAGATTCAATTCATCAATTCACAACCCTCGTTCATCGTCCCAACAAAATAATATAGAATAACCCTAATAGTAAAGGGCTTGGGCTACCCACTAATAATACAAGCCCAATTACATGAAATAAAATGAATGGCCCAATCCATGACAGTGTTCTTTTTAAAATTAAGATATTATTACAGTTGTGGTCAGCTAATTGATTCCAAAAATACACTGAAAATTGTGTTTATAGTAATCTCAAACTTCATGCTAAAATTGAAATTAAATGAAATGTATAAACTTTGGAAGTTCATCCATGGTCGGTTGGTTATAAAAATGGATATAGCTCTTCCATCCAAAGCCAAAAGTAGAAAAATCCAAATGGTAAAACACAAGTTTGTCAAAAATAAAATAAAATAAAATAAAAAATTACAGAGTCAAAACTGTAATAACAATAGCAGCAACAATAACCAGCAGAATTCTATTCTCAATAAACAGTAGCAACAATAACAGGTAGACTTCTATTCTCAATAAGCAGTCTTTTTCCTAAATATCAAGAAAAACAAAAAAGTATCTGAAAAGCACTTGGGATATTGTGGTAGATGCCGAGTATTTAATGATGATAGAACTGATGCTGAATGCTTCTGAAAAACATAAACTTCTAGAAATTTAAAAAACAAACAACCAAAAAATAAAAATAAAAAATGTCAGAGCATGCAATAGATATATCAACAAACCTACCTTCCAAGAGCAAGCAAATTTCCAAAGGAGAATGTTACTCCAAACTTGATGGGATTGAAGAAAACAAGCATGGACTGTCATAGCAAACAAGAACACAAATGAGTCAATCCCATGGTCGCCTATACTTATTGTAATCCACACATTTACACTAATATGAGCAGGCAAGATCCCCTAGTTCTAACCTAAACATCCTAAGTAGGAATAGAAATGAAAATTATTATACTTTCAACCATAATCAGCAAACATAAAGTAACACAAATAGGTCCAGCACCACGAATTCTTGCAGGATCGAAGAATATGAAAATGATTTTGTCAAGTCCGACGCAAGTATGACATTAAATAGAATAAGGTACAGCTTACCAAAAGTGTGCAAGTTATGCCAGCAACCAAGCACGTCACAAACCCATACAACCTCTGTTATATATTTTAAAGAAGCACAAATTAGAAAGAGAAAAATTGTTATATAAAAATTAGCAAAAAAATGAGGAACTTTAGTCCGCAGCACATAGAACGTCTGCATAATTACCTATTATAATAACCTTTTAAGGCTCTAAACATGACCATTATAAATGTACAGATCCACAATATTTTAGCACAATTCCCGCTAATTTAAACCAACAATAGCTCATTCGATCAAAGATTTAATATGCCCAAAAGGTTAATTGTTCATATACAGAAGAAATAATTTTTTGAAAAATTATAAATCAAAATACCTGTTTGGTCGACAGAGTGCAGTTGCGATTGAAATCGTCCATGAAAGCAAAGGAGGACTCTTCTTTTGGTTGTTCTTCATCTTCAACCTCCATTCCCACCAGCATCTTCATCTTCTCAAACGCCTGATTCATCTTCTCCATTTCAGAATAATAAAAATTTCGAATATTCTATTATACACAGTGAACTGTGATTTTCTTTATCTTTGGAGATCTGAAATGCAAATTCTAGGCGATGAGTTTGTTAAATCTCTTGATGAAAGTATACAGGTAGATGAGCTGCGAGCAGCAGGTGAGTGGGGCTTTGCTTTGTGCATAAAAAAACTCAGTCGATGCTTCGGTTTTGAAATTTTATTATTCTTAAAATTTCTTTGTAATCCTTATTCTAGAAATTAGTAACTCAACTAATAATTAGATTTTGAGTGAATTGAAGCGTATCGCTCTTTTAAATAGGGATGACAATTTGAACCGTTAAAATCGAAAATCGTAATTGATCGAATCGAACGTGGTGAAAAAATCGAACCGATGATGCAATAGGATGAATATGGTATTTGATTTTAATGACTCGGTTCGAAGCGGTGCGGGTATAATATTTATGTCGTCGCCTCGAACCGAACTAATAACCCGTTAAATTTATTTTTTTCCATTTAAATAGTAATCTAATGCAAAACATGTATAAAAAATATCTAACTTTGCAAACTCCACAAAGGCCATTTTTTCTTACTTTGCAGTGACATATATTGAAGCGAACTCAATCAACAATTTCAATTTCAAAAAATTTATTCTCTTACAGTAAATTTGATCATTTGATTAGTTTTAGACATTTGGATTGACTTGAAATTAAGTATACATAATATTTGCTTTTCTTGATTTTGTCATCAGTAACATAGACATCATCCTTGGTACCATAAATTGCTGCATTTTTACAGATGTACCCTCTATCGACCCTTTGTTCAATTTTGATCTGGTAAGTGATCAACAATGCAAATTGTTTGAAGTGTTCCAATATAATTCCCTCGACTATCAGTTGATAACCATCATGTGTGACTTTTTTTTATAAATTATTTTTTTCAATTTGACAATTGGATCTATAAAAAATAATTTATTTGCATGGTTATTAACCGCCCCGAGCTGGGCCGAACCGAGATACGAACCGAAACCGACTTATGTGGTTATGGTGCAGTTATGGTATGTCAAAAAAATTGGTGGTTCAGTGATGATTTTGGCCGAACCGACCTCGAACTGAACCGTTGCCAACCCTACTTTTAAATATAACTTTTTTTTAATGTTGATTCAACTTTGTAATTTTTTAAGAGCCTTAAAGAATTTTTAGGCATTTTTAAAGCTCTGGAAGAGTAGCAGCACTCATAAAAAAGACTCATTGATTCAATATTTATATTAATTAAGAAAAATTTATAAGTAGATTTCCATTGATTGATCATTAACATATAAAAAATCACTTTAAATAAGAGATGAGCCAACCTACTTTTAAACATACATTTTTTTAACGTTGATTCAACTTTGTAATTTTTTAAGAGCCTTTAAGAATTTTTAGACATTTTTAAAGCTCTGGATAGCAGCACTCATAAAAAAGACTCATTGATTCAATATTTATATTAATTCAAAAAAATTTATAAGTAGATTTCCATTGATTGATCATTAACATATAAAAAATCACGTTAAATAAGAGATGAGAAATCAATAATGTTATGAAAAAAAGAGGGACTAAAAGTTAATAGAGCTATGTGTATTATAATAAGAACCAAAACCCTATATTTATAGAAAATGACTAGTAATACAATGATAATAATTTCTAGGGTTGTAGGAGTAAAATTGTCATTTACTAATAAACTTATCATTTACAACACTCCATTTAAATGACACATTACAAAATATTTGACTCGTTAAAATTTTATTTGATAAAAATTCAATGAGACAAAAAAATCAAACAAAAGAATAATAGTACAGTTATTTTGGAGTATTAAAGATAAATACTGCCTCATAACCTTGCTAGGAAAATCCAATTGAATAAATCTAAGCGGAAAAAAGAGAGTATAGTTACTCTCCTGATATTGATAACTGAAAATCTTTGAGTCGACACATTTCAATCATATGAACCAATTTTTTGAATGTAGATGTTGATAGTGCTTTTGTAAATAAATCAGTCACATTGTCATATGAGCGAATTTGTTGAACATTGATGTCATCATGCTTCTGAAACTCATGTGTATTAAATTTTTTTAGAGAAATATGCTTCGTCGTGTTACCTTTGATATAGCCTTATTTGAGTTGCGCAATACAAGTAGCATTGTCTTCATAAAAAATTATTGGACTATATTTTGTTGAAGTTAACCTTATGATACTTAGATATGATGGGTCACGTTCCTTAACTATACACATTCTCGCTTGCTTCATTGATTGTAATGATTTATGAATGATTTGAGGATGTTGCTGTCAATGATTGTTTCATAGACCTCCATAATATAGCTGTTCCTACACATGTAAATACATATATTGTTTGTAATTTACTTATACATGGATCAGAGAGATAACATGTATCTGCATATCCCACTAAAATAGATTCAGACTTTTGATGATAAAATAATCTCAAATTAATAGTACCTTTCAAATAACGAAAAGCGTGTTTAACACCATTTTCAATGTCATTGAATTGGTGTAGAACTATATCTTACAAGGAGATTTACAAAAAAAAATGTTATGTAGCGTCTAGTGTAGTTTGTAAGATAAGTTAGTGCTTCAATTGCATTAAGATATGATACTTCATAACCAAGAATATTTTCTCCATCTTCAAGTAGATGGAATAAATCTTTTTTCAAATCAAGTAATCGAACAATAATAGGTACTACCAATAGATGTGTATTATCCATATAAAAATGTTTTAAAACTTTTTCTACATATGTAGATTAATGAATAATTAATCATTTCGAGAAGTGTTCAATCTGCAACCCAAGATAAATTTTAGTATTTGCCAAAATCTTTCATCTCAAATTCATTGTTTAAATAATTTGCAATTTTGTTGAACTCTTCACGAGTTTCAATTAAATTTAAATCATCAACATAAGTTCTCACAATTGTAAATTCAGTATTTATTTTCTTTATAAAAACACATGGACAAATATCGTCATTTTTATAATCATTTTTCAGCAAACATTCCCTAAGGTGATTATATAACATGTATCCGAATTGTTTCAATCTATATAATGATTTTTGTAATTTAATTGAGAATGTGGTTCTCGATCATGTATCAGTTGCACTTGGTACTTTAAGTCTTTTGAGAACTTTCATATATGTGTCACTATCAAGTGAACCATACAAATAAGCAGTTACTCCTGTCGCATATCGAGCCTTTGTTACAGTCAAACTAATTATGAATTTAAAAGTGATGGTATCCATTACGGGAGTACATGTTTTCTTATAATTAATTCTTGGTCTTTGTGAAAAATCTTGAGCTACGAGTTTGATTTTCTATCTTGTAATTTCATTATTTTCATTATTATTATTATTATTATTATTTTTTACAAAAACTCATTTGTGTCCAATAGGGATTGCATTTTCAGATATTTGAACTACAAGTTTAAACACTTTTTTATTTCTCTAAGGCGTTCAACCATTTAGGCAAATCATTTCTGTGTTGACAATCTTTAACATTATGTGGTTCAAGATCCTCATCTTATATAATATCAAGAGTCACATTAAAGGCAAAAATATTGTCTATAACAACATTATTTTTTTCATAATTTATGAGATAACATAGAATATATTAAAATCACATTATTTTCAAACACTTATGATTCTTCGAAAGCCATATTTTCAATATTTGATTGATCAATCTTTTCTAATATTACTTTTTTTTAAGGTTTTGGTTGGTTTTTCTCTTGTAGTTTTCTTTTTTGACGTACAAAGTCTTTTGACCTAAATTAATAACCACGTTTCTGGAATATTTGAAATTCATTTGTTACAACAAATTATCATACAGGGACATCAATTTATTTTTAAATATTTTTCTGCTGGTATATATGACTTTTTCACTTTTCTTATATCAACAAATACACTTGGGGACTAACACAAAGAATTCAAGATCGAAAGAAGTTTATGATCGCTTACCATAATTGATTTGTAATTCTTTGCAAATAAATGATTTTTTTTTTAACTTTTTGTTCGCATTAATTACTGCGAGGATCAAAATAAGATAAAGTTATTTCATTCTAAAAAAATTTACCTCATTTTTCAGGATGTAGTTTTTCCCCTTCCAAAGTTAGGTAAGTCATTTCAACAAAATTATAACTTAAAAAACGTACAGTAAATAAATCACCAGTTAAAGGTTCATGATACCTAATGATAGATGGTGAATCAAAACTCACATAAATTTCAAATCTTCGTTGGGGACCCATTTTAATACATTGTGGAATTTAATAGAGACTTGGATAACACAACCAAAAACTCGTATGTGAAAAATATCAGGTTCATAACCAAATTCTAGTTGAAAAGATGAATATTAATAATAGACAGTTGATCTAATACGAACCAGTGAATCAGCATATAATATGGCATGACCCTAAACAAAAGCTGGTAATTTTATTTTCATAAGTAATTATCTAGCAATAAGTTGTAGACTTTTAATAAACAACTCTGCTAACTCATTTTGTGTATGAACATGCGCAATCGAATGGTCAATAATAATCCCAA